ACCTAAACCCACTGAAAAGAGTGGTGGTTTACTTGGGTCAATTACAAACATTTTTCCACCATCTACATCAGTCCCTATACCAACACCAACACCACAACCTCAAATTGAAACGCCCAAACCTACTGAAAAAAGTGGTGGCTTACTTGGATCAATTACAAACATTATTCCAAAAACAATTATCTCATCGACACCATCTCCAACACAACTACCAACTACGTCACCTTCACAACCCCCACAAAATGAAACCCCCAAACCAACTGAAAAAAGTGGCGGTTTACTTGGGTCAATCACCAACATTATACCAAAAACAATCATTTCCTCATTAACACCATCCCCATCAATCACCTCGTATCCTTTCCCATCACAACACCAAAGCGATACGCCCAAACCAACTGAAAACAGTGGTAGCTTACTTGGGTCGACTTCAAATATAAATCCAAAAACAACCTCGATTCCCTTTACCACACAACAAGAAACCCCAAAACCAACCGAAAAGAGTGAAAACTCAACTGCCGCTACTTCTTCGAATCAACAAAATGAAACACCAAAACCTACTGAAAAAAGTAGTGGACTAATGGGATCAATTGCAAATATAATTCCACCAATTTTTTCCTCCACGCCCTCATCAAAACCTTCAGCAACAGACGCTCCTTTGAAAAATGAAACACCAAAACCTACTGAAAAAAGTGATTCGGTTGGATCAATCACAAGTATAACTTCACAAACACCATCATCATCAGCCGCACCTTTCTCTCAACAAAACGAAACTCCTAAACCAACTGAAAAAAATAGTAGTTTACTTGGTTCAATTACCAATATTATACCATCGACAATAATTTCTTCACAAACTACTCCACCAACCACACCAAAGCCAACATTATCAGCTTCTTCACAATCTCAAAATGAAACACCTAAACCCACTGAAAAGAGTGGTGGTTTACTTGGGTCAATTACCAATATTATACCGTCGACAATAATTTCTTCACAAACTACTCCACCAACCACACCAAAGCCAACATTATCAACTTCGTCACAATATCAAAATGAAACACCCAAACCAACTGAAAAGAGTGGTGGACTACTTGGATCAATTACAAACACTATTCCAAAAACAATTATCTCATCAACACCATCTCCAACACAAATACCAGCTATGTCACCTTCACAACTCCCACAGAATGAAGCACCAAAACCAACGGAAATAAGTGGTAATTTAATTGGATCAACCACACCAGCTCCAATACAACCCCAAAATGAGCCACCCAAAACAACCAATAGCAATTTAACCGGTTCGACATTTGGTACAACGCCATCTCCATCACCATCACCATCACCATCTTCACCATCACCATCGCCATCGCCATCACCATCTTCAACACCATCACCATCATCATCTTCAACACCAATCAAAGTAGATCCTTCTTCACAAACAACACCACCTACCACATCAAAACCAACACTATCAGGTACACCAACACCAGTTTCATCACAACCCCAAACTGAAACACCCAAACCTACTGAAAAAAGTGGTTCTTTACTAGGGTCAATAACAAACTCAATACCCAAAACAATTATATCATCATTTACACAACCACCAACTCCAAATCCAACACAATCACCTGAAACTACTATAGCTCCAACAATAAGTTCAACCCCTTCTGTTTCTAATCAACAAAATGAAACACCCAAACCAACTGAAAAAAGTGGCACCTTGCTTGGATCAATTACAAATCTAATACCAAAAACAATTATTTCTTCATTCACACAACCAGCTCAATCACAAGCACCACAGATAAACCCAAGCGAAACACAAACACCAACACCTAAACCAACTGATAAGAGTGGTAATCTACTAGGATCAATAACAAATTTAATACCAAAGACAATTATCTCCTCATTCACACAACCAGCTCAATCACAAGCACCACAGATAAATCCAAGCGAAACACAAACACCAACCCCTAAATCTGGAATTATAGGTTCTATTACCAATTTGATTCCTCAAACTATTATTTCAATACAGCCCACAATACAACCTACAAGCCAACCAGCTCAAACAAAAAAACCAAGCTCTTTCTTTGGAAGCATAAATCCTTTTAACAGATAAATAAAATATTATTTATAATAATCTTATTAATATATTATTTTATTTCTATTTAAAACTTTTATTACTTTTTTACAATTTTTAGATAATTTTAAAAAAAAAAAAAAAATTTTAAAAAATATAATTGCAGAAATAAAAATACACATTTAAGTTTTTTTTTTTAAAAAGGATAAAATCAACTTTATAAAAAATTATTTTAATTTTATTGTTTTTTTTTAGACTTTTCTTTTATAATTTACATAAATAAATAAATATACAATTGGTTGTTTAGAAACATTTTCTGTGGACAATTGATGGACCTGATTCGTCGTATTCTTCTTTGGAGATCCACATTTGTTGGAAAGTTGAGAGTGAGGCTAAAATTGAACCACCAATCCAGACAGAGTATTTACGTTCTGGTGGAGCAATGATTTTAATTTTCATGGTTGATGGGGCTAAAGCAGTTAATTCTTTGTTCATACGATCAGCAATACCTGGGAACATAGTTGTACCACCTGATAAGACGACATTACCGTATAAATCTTTACGGATATCAACATCACATTTCATGATTGAATTGTAAGTGGTTTCGTGGATACCAGCTGATTCCATACCTAAGAATGATGGTTGGAATAAGGCTTCTGGGCAACGGAAACGTTCATTACCGATGGTGATGACTTGACCATCTGGTAATTCGTATGATTTTTCTAAGGCAGATGATGAGGCAGCAGTTTGCATTTCAGCTTCGAAGTCTAAGGCAACGTAGGCTAATTTTTCTTTGATATCTCTGACGATTTCTCTTTCAGCAGTGGTGGTGAATGAGTAACCACGTTCAGTTAAGATTTTCATCATGTAATCGGTTAAATCACGACCAGCTAAATCTAAACGTAAGATGGCGTGTGGTAAGGCATAACCTTCGTAGATTGGAACAGTGTGGGAGACACCATCACCTGAATCCATAACAATACCAGTGGTACGACCTGAGGCGTATAATGATAAGACGGCTTGAATGGCAACGTACATGGCTGGGGTGTTGAAAGTTTCGAACATAATTTGAGTCATTTTTTCTCTGTTAGCCTTTGGATTTAATGGGGCTTCAGTTAATAAGACTGGGTGTTCTTCTGGAGCAACACGTAATTCATTGTAGAAAGTATGATGCCAGATTTTTTCCATATCATCCCAATTGGTAACAATACCGTGTTCAATTGGGTATTTGAGGGTTAAGATACCTCTCTTTGATTGGGCTTCATCACCAACATATGAATCTTTTTGACCCATACCGACCATAACACCAGTGTGTCTTGGACGACCAACAATTGATGGGAAAACAGCTCTTGGGGCATCATCACCAGCAAAACCGGCTTTGCACATACCTGAACCGTTATCGATAACTATTTTAAAAAAAAAAAATTAATGTTAATATATAATTTTTTTTTTTTTTTTTTTTTTTTTAAATTTTTCTAAAAAATAAACATACCTAAAGCTTGAACATCTTCACCTTCCATTTTATTTTATTTATTTATATTATATATTTATAGTAGTAAGAAAAAAAAATAAATGTAAAATTATTTTTAATTTATAATTTTTGGAAAAATGAAAAAAAAATTTTTAAAAAAAAATAAAAATAAAAAAAAATTAAAAAAAAATAATTATTAACCCATGGGTTTTTTCAAAAACCAAAAAAAATATTAATTTTTATTTTCAAATAAAAAATAAAAAAACTGGATAGTTTTTAAAAAAAAAAAAATCATTTTTATTTTTTTTTGGTAAAAAAGTTTTCAATTAATTATTTTATTTTTGGTTGGATCATTTTAATTCTATTTGGGAACCCATTTTAAAATAATGGTTTATTATCAAAAACATTTAATGTTTTCAATTTGATAGGTTACACAAATCATTTAGGTTATTTGTGATTTTTAACGTGTTTTTGGTTATTTGAAAAAACATGAAAAAAAAAAAAAAAAGTTATAATAATTAAAATTTTTTTTTTTAAATGATTATTTATATAAGAAAAAAAAAAAAGTTTAAATAAAAATAATTATATTTAAATTGAAATTTTAGAGATTAATACTATTAAAATTAAAGATTTTTTTATTTTTTATTTAATTCCAATATTTTGTGTTTTTGGATTGGTTTTGTCAAAATGGTTTGGGTTTTACCAAAGAAATTTCATTTTCAACGAAAAAATTGGAAGTAAACCTGGTGCATATTTGAATTTATTAATGAGTTAGTGCAGGCACTAAATTTTAAAAAAAAAAAAAAAAAAAAAAAAAAAAAACCACAATTAAATTTGATATTTGAAAAGATAATATTTATTCATTTATTTGCAAAAAAAAAAAAAAAAAAAAAAATTATGGTGCATTATTATTACAATAGTTTTGTTATAATAATTTAAATTTATTCGGATTGAATTGGTTTAAATTCAATACCGGTTTTTTGATTTGATTTTAATTTTTTATAAAAAATAAAAAATGTTAAAACAAGGGAAATAAAAATGAAAATAATCATAAATTCAAACCAAGTTCCTTCTTTGGGGTCACCAGGTTTGCAACAATAAATTGGATATTGACTAAATTGAGATGGTTTATGCATTTTTTGTTGATCTAAAGTACCTGCGCTATCTCTAATCCAAGTATCTATTTTATAAGGTTTATCAGTTAATTCTAAAATTCTTGCACCTTCTAAGAATTTTGGATTGTATGAGCCATATCCAGTTTTACGACCATAGCCTAAATCGATGCCATAGTAATTACCATGAAAGTCGTTTTTGTGGTCATGACCAAAATATAAACCCTTAACATCTCCTTGCTGAATCATAGTCTCCACAAATTTAGATTCTTCAGTATAGTAGCAGCAAACAGATGCGTCACCAAAATCACCAACGACGTCGGCACTATTCCAAAGGTCTATAACTTCAGTTGGTGGTATGTGAACAAATGCAATGGCATCTCTGTGATTATTGGTGTCTGATAGGTTTTTATACCATTCAACCTGTGGTTTCTGGATACATCCCCAAACCTCGTCATTTCTACAACCATTTGTATCACTATCAAATATATAAATAACTGACTGTCCATTTTCTTTACTATCGTCCCCACTGCCATTGTAATCGCTTGGAAATATATTTAATTGATAGTTTGCAACACCTGGTAATCCTATTATATTATTGATTTCGGTTAGTGACAAATTATAATCCATATCAATTCTTGCAATTTCTTTACATGTTAATTTTCCTTCGCAATCGTGGTTTCCGAATGTTATAGACCAGGGTATACCCCTTTTAACCATTGGTTCTGTTAATTTTTTCCATGTTTCTATATATTTATTTCTTTGCCAAAAATTATAGCCACTAATCATATCGCCTGATAACATAACAAAATCAGGATTTTCTAAATCTAATATAGTCTCTATAGTTTTGGTAATGAAGTTATTTAAAATGTGAAATTAAGTTAATATACGCTTGCTGTAATTCTTTTTTTTTCTGTCTAAAAAGTTTTCGTCACATACCCTGATTTTTTGTATTTTTGTTATCATATTCTATACCTTCACCAAAGTGTAAATCTGTGAATTGTACTATTTTAAATTTACCATTTTCATTATATTTTAAAATGGGTTTATTATTATTATTAAAAAGAAGTTTATTTTTATTATTGATTGAGCTATTCCTATAATTATTATTATTATTATTATTATTATTATTATTATTATTATTATTATTATTATTATTTTTATTATTTTTATTATTATTATAACTAAGTTCGCTCCTAAAATTTTGTTCTATTGGGGATCCAGTCGGATTTATATTTATAAATTGTTTTGTATATGAAAAGTCTATTATTACTATGATAGCTATAAACAATATACCAAAGACCAAAAGCTTTTTATTTGAGGCCATTTTTTATATATACATATATTGAGGGTGGATAGTTTTGTTTATTATTAATATTAAGGTAATTATAAAAATTGTTTTTGTATATAATGAAAATTAATTTTATTTAGGTTCTATAATACAAAACACCAAAATAATTAAAGTTTTGTGTGCAACAGGTGTAAAAATTAAATATTATTTAATTGGGAAAAAAATAAAAAAAGTGTGCGTTTAAAAAAAAATTAAAAAAAAAAAAATTAATTTTAAAAATAATTATTTATTGAAATTATGGGTTTAAAAAAAATAAAATTAAAAAAAAAAAAAAAAAAAGAAAAAAACGACAGTTATTATTACATTTTTATTGTTTTATTATTATATCTTAAATAAATTATTGTGATTTTTTAATTTTTCTTTGGATTTGTTCTTTATTGTTATCCATACCAAAGAAAACATATGAAATAAAGAAACCAAATAAAAATGAAACTAGGATGAAAAGCCAAACAAATTCTCTAATGGCCTCTTCAAACAATGCAAACATTGGATTCCAGGGTCTTTTAATAGGTGATACATGTTTATTATAAAACATTACAAATTCTCTTAAATTTCCTGTGGTTGGTTCATGATTATAGTTTCTATATTCATTTGTGCCATTTTCAAAACTTGGTTTTATAAAAAAAAAAAGAAAAAAAAAGATTAATAAATTTTACTTTTATAGTTAATAGTTTATAAGTTTAAATATTTACTATTTTATATTTGGGAAGTATTCGACTCTATACAAGTCACAAATTTCTTGATTTTCGTCACAATTTACTTTACCAAAATTAAAGGTTTCTTTTGATTCTGAAAAATCAGCTTTTGATAAATTGTCAAATTCTGGCATGAATTTTTCGCAGTAAATACATTTTGGAATATGGAAAAATATTAACCAATTGCCATCATTTGGTTTTGGGAATGTTTCTGTAGTAAGATTGATGATTTTAATAATGGTTGATGGTGGAAGTGGTTTTTTAATTTCCTCTAAATATCCACCCTTAATAAAGTCAACTAAAGTTTCCATTGTTTTTTCACCTTTCATTTCATAGACCATACCATTATTGATGCTATAGTAATAAAAAATTAATTAGTATGATGATGATGATGATGATGATGATGAGTA